CGAAGCAAAATTTATTAAATTTTTATTCGCATTTCTAGGACATAGCGCACTAGCGTAAATAAAAACTTCGTTCTATAGCTTGGTTGTCATATTTTCGGGCTTTAATTTCTTAGCAAAGTGAAATTAATACAAAAATGTGGTCCGATTGCGTATTACTCCACATATCAGTTATCATTTTGAATATTCAGTCCAAGAAAAATTTAAGGAAAAGTTGGTTGTTGTTGTTTATTAAATTCGTTACTTTCTCATTAATTTTAAAGTAAACTTAACCCATCAACACGCTTCGGGAAACATCCGATTATCAAGCTAAAGTACAAACATGATTGTTATGATTACGATGCCGTATTGCCGCGTGATAACCTGATAAACAAAAAGAAATTTATTATGAGTAATATATAAATTGAAAAATCTCCCTCTAAAAACAAAACAAAAACAAAAAAAAAAAAAGAAAAAAACTAGTAAACAAATTATTTTTAAGTTAAATAAACAACAACTTTTAAGCATTTGTTTTGATAGTATATTAAATTTTATTATTATTAAATATCATAGATACTGTAGCCGCATAAGAACAAAATAATAAAATTTTAAAGTGTTTATATGATGACATAACAATTATTGTTTACTTATATTATTGAAAAGAAAAAAAAAAAAAAAAAAAAAAAAAAAAAAAATTTAATGTTTTTTTTTTTTAAAAAAAAAAAATTTATTTATTTTTTTTTTTTTTTTTTTTATTACACTCACCACAGGTGGTATATTCAGTTTATTAAACATTTGTCACGCATACAAATAAGTATTCGCAACGTTATGGTGTCCCTAATAATGCCGCAAAAAAGTTTTGAGCCTTCGAACGTCTTTCCTTACTTCTCTATTTTTATTACTTCTTTTTCTTATATGACAAGTCGCTCAAGAGATACCCTTTACCCGTCACAAAGAAGTGAGGAAAGAAAAAGAGGGAGAAAGGTGAGCACAGCTTAGTGCGTGTGGCCGCAATCGCCACCGACTAGACACTCACCATAGCTACGGCTAAGGTAAACTCTACTCTACTTGAACCCGCGCTTACTTGGTGATCGTGATTCGTACCTCTTCCGCTGTTCACGTATAATGATTGGTCATATTAAAGGAAAAAAAAAAGGAAAATTATTATGCTTTATTCAGCGACATTTCCCCATATTCCCAAAGCCATCATAATCCGTTCATCATATTTCTAATAAACAATGTTTATATTCTACTTCATGAAAGGATTGAAAGGATACTTTGAAAACCTGGTTAATATCATCCAAGAAGTCTTGCAAATATCGAAACCAGTTCACGGAACAAACACTTTGGAAACATTCTCGCAAAGTGAACTTTCTATCTTCCATAAGCTCTAAAGAGCTGTGGTAGTATGTCTTTCCACTTCCTTGCAATGACTAAAAGCAGTAATAGAAAAGCGATGCTATTTTTCAACTTATACGACGGCACGGCCGATGTTTCGCATTTTGTACATAGATATTGAAGGGCCACCCAAACAATGTATGGAGAAACTTTTATCTTTGTTTCCGTAGTGCTTTATAAGCAACAAGCAGAAAAGCTTGTAGTTATTTTTTTTTTTATTTTAAGAAGAATTCATATTATACTATAAGCGGGTCCTTTGAACTTTGTAGGTGATTTTCAATATCGAAATATTTGTAAGAAATTCTATTGCTCTCTGTTGAACTTGAAGCCGAGAATGTTTACCACAAATTTCTCCATTGGTATGGCAAAATAGCAGACTTATGGACAGACATGCCAAAATCTATTAAAAGCTTTCTTCTGATCAAGACAAATATACTCTGAGATCTCTTTGCTTTTCGCTGTTGCAAACGTCTTGACAAAATGAATAGGGGACCCCCATCACCTTTCATATAAAAAGTTCTGCTTTTGTTCTCTATGTTGCCTACGTTCGATACATTTATAAATGACAAATGATTATTACGTCCAATCTTGCCATAAATTTCGCGATTACAATCATGCGATAGAATGGATACGCTTACGTAGCATATTACGCTTGCAATAATTTAATATTGTATGTACGAATAAGTTCATAAATTGTGTGTACGAATAATATTCACCTAGGAAAAAATGTCTCGTCTTTTCTGGCTATTTCTAAAAGAACTAGTATTTGGGTATCGTCACAAGACCCGAAGCACAGTTCGAACAAACCATAAGTTATCTATTAAAACCCGTCTTGATCGTAAGGAGTAATGTTTGCTTGTAACAGCGGGGAGTGTGTGTGTGTGTGTATGTGTGTGTGTATGAAAAAAGCGGAAATGATTGGGCAACAAAAGATTCATTCCTCGCGCCAGCTGATATATGAAAACCTATATATATTTTCTTTCTACTTAAATGTGTTGTTGTTTTTGTTGTTTTTTTTTTTATTTAATTTAATACTTTTTGATGATAATGTTCTACGAATGATAAGTGCAGAACGGGTATGAATGTGTTGTAATAAAACTAAAAGTGATAAACACGTGGCGCAGAGATTTTTTTTTTTTGCGAGTTGATAAAGAAAGAAACCGTAATATTATGTTATTGTTATTATTGCTTGAAGTACTTACCTGTTGATTATTATTGCAATAAAATAGAAAATTTTATAACACTTGCGCTTAAGGTGACAGTAAAACAAAATCCCCACACCCGCTTGTTGTTGTCTTTTTTTTTATTTTTTTTTTTGTTTTCATCGATTGCTTTACAATATTTTTATTAATCTTTGTATTACCAAAGACCGGATTAAATCACATAATCAAGGAAAACCACTGCAAAAAAAAAAAACAAAACAAAAACAAAATCACGTTTTACAAACATTCGCTTCAAAGAATATTAATATCATATAATATCTAACGGTTCTCTGCTACAATTATCATAAATATGTTGAAGAAATTAATAAGAAAAATATTTAAAAAGAAAAAAAATTATTGAAATTCTTTATAAACAATCAATATCAAATTTAATTATCTTTAACTTTGTTGCACCATTTAATGCCATTAAATACTTTCACGCAAATTAAAACAAAGAAATGCAATAAAATCCTTCAAAAGTAGACGGAGATAGGGGGAGATAGAATAAAAGATCGAATCTCTTTAAATATTCGTAATGTAACACATTTCTTTAAATCTATTTTAATTTGTCCGTCCCGACGTCTTATGACTTATGATCGCCAAAACTGATCTAAAAAGCTTTGATTGCTGGAAGGCTGGGCTTGTGAATAAATTTGGTAGTGTAATAGATTTGTCGTTCTTTTAATGTATTTTAGTTTATCCGTCCGTATGTCTTAGGACTTATGATCGCGAAAACTGAGCTAAAAAACTTTGATTGCTGGAAGCGCAGTTTTGTGAGTAAAGTAGTGTAAAAGATTTGTCGTTCCTTTAATGTATTTTAGTTTATCCGTCCGTATGTCTTACGGATTTTGGACGCGAAAAATTATCTCAAATATTCTTAAATGCTTTTTGCTATCCTCTCCTAAACACAGCTGGAGCATAATAAACTAACAGAGTATCCATTTCAATTCAATAATGCCGAGAAATAAACATAAGCGACACAATAAATTATAAGTAATTCTGATCAATATAAGATCTTGGATTCATTATAATTTGTCCGTCCGTATGTGTTTGTTTTTAGAACGTTTATGGCCGCGAAAAATGACTTAGACAGTTGCCTCCTATGTTCTTCTGCTGGCTGTCTGCCTTCTTTATCGATCCACCACCGAAGGATGATAATGCACCAAATTGTCTGCTCCATACATATTGCTGAAAATGGAGAAAATGCGAAACTTATTTCATAAATTCTTATTTGCCATTCACCTATTTTGTCTACTCACCGACGGAGAATAATAAAATATCGGAATGCCTATTCTAATTGTAGTGCCGAGAAATAAACATCGTTGATCCAATAAAGTACAAGTAATCTTGATCAACGCAAAATCCTGAACCGATTTTCTGTTGTCCGCATGTACGTCATTTATTCCTACTACAAAGCTTATGGCCACGGAAGGCGGGTGGGTGAACTGAAAATTTTCCCATATATATTCTCCAGACATACAGAGTTATTCACATAATAATCTATCAAAATAAGTCTTTATGTGAGAAATGGTCGAAAAAGTGGTCGAGCGCAGACCTCTTTCAATAACGTTCGTTCTTGGGCCAAAAGACGTTCGTATGCCAAATTTCATTAAAACATCTCAAACACTTGTGACCTCTAGGTTGAACACAGGAAAACTAAACAAATAGACGGACAGACAGAAGAACTGCGTCTGGTTGTTGCATGTGTACGCAAAAACTTAATATATCCTTGTACCATAGGTGGTGGTGTACGGCACAATTGCTGTAACCCGGCTCATTTAGAAGAACTTTTAGTCATCAGCCGCACGCAATTTCTTCTCGGGCTTCAAGAACGAGATATTGTAAATAGACAGACAGGTTTTTGGGCGATTGGACGGCATTCAACATTTCATGTACGCGTACAGTTTGCGATTAAAAAAAGACGTCTTTTAATGTATTATGCGTGATGGACAAAGGCCACTGAATCTTTTTGACTTATTTGGTATCTCTACTCTCTTGGTATTTGTAATCCACGAGTTTGTTATAAGTTTTAGAGAAACACCTGACATCTACTTTTCCCAATAGCTGTGCAGGTCGTTCGAAGGAACAACCGTAAGAAAAGAAACTACCTCAACTATGAAGAAGGGCTTCTCAAATTCAAACTTTGAAGGTATGCTTTAGTCGAGAGACATGGGGGACAACTTTCGCAAACAACATGTCTACATTTTCCACTCCATTTCCATTCTCTACTAAAAACAAATTTTCTCTCGGAACGAATGCAGATTTTGATCTCGCTTGTAGCGATCACTTTGCACAGTGATAATCTCTTTCAGAGATCGTGCTAAAAGTTAAATAATAATCACTTCCAAATGAAATCGCGTACATACCTTTAGTTGGTTAAAACTTAAACTCAATTTTTGCATATATCCTTCTCTTTCGTTATAGCTCGAGTTTGAATTGAAATCTCGAAGATTCTATAATAACCTCTTGGGAGGTGCCCGCCAACGGCAGGTCCTGCTGAAAGCATAGGCTTTCGCGAAGCGAAAAAAGAAATAAAAGGGGAAAGGCGTGCCTAAGTTGATTGCGGTTTTTGTATTTAACATACGATGACTGAAAATCAATTATATCCTATGTCAACAGAGCTATTTGATACTTCCTCGAATAGTAGTCAACACCAAATAAAATACGATTTGTATTCATTCGGTTTAGGCACCAGTGTGGCTGGAGCTGGTGCTAGTGCTTTATTTGCCAGTTGTTTAACAAATACCGCCCCCGCCGCCGCCGCCGCCAACACCACCATCATCACCACCACCACCAATAATACTATTAACGCAAATATAATCAATTATAATACAAATTGCGGATCGTTAATAAATCATAGCAACGCTAATAGTAGCGGTGCTATGCTTACCAATGCCATAAGTATACCACGTAGTAATAATCCGAATCAAAGTCATAATCCTTATCAAGACGAGGCTTTGCATCATCCAACTTCAAGTCCCTTTCTCAGCCATCAGTACCATCAGCAATTGCAACAAAATCTAAATCAATATCATCAACAAAATAATAATAATAATAACAATAACAGCAGCAACCACAACAACAACAACAACAACAACAACAACAACAACAATAATCATATTAATAATCATAATCATCAAATGGCTACAGCGAATATGATGTCAACGACGAGCAGTAGTCAACAAACCTCGAACGGTCAACTTCAGCAATCATCGGAACCGATGTCGACCGGCTTAAATGATTATTCCGATTATGGTTTAGATCCTCTCGATGCTTCTAATTTATCGCCTACCCTATTGCAAGATGTTAATATGAGTGCCGCTACCCAAAATCTTCAAACGACGTCTGTGACGTCGCCATTTTATGCGCAGGACGCTTCATCTCCTTTAGATAATCATAAAGGTCTGGGCGGAGATGGCAATTTACAATCGCCAACAACTAATCCCAATTCGGATCTAACAAGTGTTAATTCATTTTTGGGTGCCGGCAGTAATGTCGACGATGTTAGCTCTTCTCTGATGTATGACTCTAATGGCGCCGCCGGGCCAAACGCTATATGGAGTGATATTGGTAGTGCCATTGTCTCTACAAAAAGTGAACCACCTTTCACTTTAGAAGACGACTATATATTTCCGATAGATAAAAATGAAATAAATGCCGCCACATTTGGCGATTTAGGTGAAGATAATTTTTTGGACATTGAAGAATTTTTGCATACAAACGCAACCGCTGGCTCTCAGGATAATGGTAGCAATTTTTTGCTTAATTCTTCTTCTTTTAATAACTCCAATGCCAATGCAACACCCTCGCCGGGTATTGATCCTCCAATGGAATTAATGCAACAGCAACACCAACAGCAACAACAACAACAACTGCAACAATTTACACAATTACAGAACATGTCCGCCACAAATGGTGTTGACAGTATATTAATGCAACAGCAGCAGCAGCAGCAGCAACAGCAGCAGCAAAATCAACAAAGTTCCTCTAGTCCGTACGAAATTTACCACAGCACACCAAATAAGCAACAACTGCACAACAACAATTCAAATACATTCTCACCGGGCAGTCAGGTAGATATTATTGAAACTTTTCTTATTATGATTGATTCTAGTTATCATTATTACTCTTCTCTCTTTAGCCTTCTAATTCGCCTTTACAAATAAATTCCATAACGCCACCGCCACCACCTCACGCCAATCGTTCACAGTACCAGCAAAGTCAAGTACGATCGCGTAATATGCAAGAGCTAATGAAGAAAGGTTTCTCAATATCACCGGACCGCCATAATTCGTCCAATTTGTTAGGTCAATCAGTTCCCGGCACTCAGACGATGTTAATGTCTGGCCACGCTTTGAGTCCCAGTAGTGGTAGTAGCGGTTATGGTAGCGCGAATGGTGCCAACACAAGCAGCACAAATATCGTTAGCCTAAACAGTACACGTAAACCATTTTTCCTTTCAATGGTGGCGGCCAATGATGTTTCGGCTTTGGCTCGTCTTTCGTCATCGGCACCGACAAGTCATGAGCATATCTGGATGAGACGTGAACCTAGACAGCATTTATTATCTACAGGTTCCCTAGCTGAGGCGGAATCATTCTCCTCTCTCAGTACTGGCAGTGTTCTATCGCCCGATATTAACGATTATTCCCAAGATGATGATGATGATAATTCGACTGATGAGAACAGTGATCATTATGATGATTTATCCAGTGATGGTTCAGATAATGATGACGATACGTTACGCGGTCGGACGAGTTCGGTTGGTAGTCAACATCAATTATCCTCTTCGAAGGGTAAAGAACGTTATTTCTGGCAGTATAATGTTCAAGCTAAAGGGCCAAAAGGCAAACGTTTGGTATTCCAATCGAAACTAGAAGATCCTCATATTCTCAACGAGGTAACAGATCCGGTATTCAGTCCTAACTGTTCCGTAAAGGGCATTAAGGTGTATAAGGTGATTTTCTTTGTCTTCTCCATCACTTCTTTACACGATTTCACTTAACTTTATTTCTTTTTTTTTTTACTCCCTATAACAAACAGCATAGTGGCAAGGCCCGGAAAGGTGATGGCAATGATTTGACACCGAACCCTCGTAAATTGCATAATATTGGCAGAGAATTGGATCGTTTAAGTCGCACGATAAATGATATGACTCCTGTCTCCGAATTACCCTTCAATGCGAGACCTAAGTCGCGTAAAGAAAAAAATAAATTGGCCTCACGCGCTTGCCGCTTGAAAAAGAAAGCTCAACATGAAGCGAATAAAATTAAACTTTACGGTTTAGAAATAGAGCACAGTAAGTACATCTGATAATCCAAATAATTGAAATGATTATTAGATCAATTATTTATCCATTAATTCATAATAATCTTCTCTCTTGCATTTTAGAACGTCTCTTAAATGCTATCGCTGAAATCAAGCAAACACTAATATTGAAATATCGCAAACAAAATGTGGGCGAATCGTTTGAAGAGTCCGATCAACAAATTGAAAGGATTTACAAACATGCTATCAGTAAGTACTTAAATGCATCGTTTCTTCGATTCTCACACACTTCAGGCTATAAAGTACACATTATCGACTTTCTAAGCCATTCAAGTAGTAGGGTATATTAGGTTTGTGCGGATTTGTGCAAAATTCAAAAGCGGATTTGAGCCTTCCATTACACTGAATGATCCGTCCGTCTGTCCGTGTTTTGTCCTAGTCCGTACGTACGCAACACCCAGGAGAATAGGAGATAGACTAACCTTTTACTATACCGATCGAATCAGATTCGCTATCTAAATTGATCCAAGCTTGTCTTTCCGTCTGTTCATCTATGCTTTTTTATTCGGCCTACAGGTCGCAAATTTTCAAAATGTCATCCTCCAATGTGCGGGCCTGGCCCGATTATAATGTTTTTGTTCTTGTTTTTGTTTTTTTTTTATTAATGTATTGCTTTAATTTATGAATTTCAGGTGGTTTAGCCATAGCTGGCATAACAACGGAATTCGTGAATAGAGTTCTGGAAAATGTTAAGAACGGACAACCAAATGGTGGTTTAGATGAATTGAGAAATACATAAAAGGAATAGAAGAAGATGAGAAAAAAAAAGTATATGTAATAAAATGAAATCTAATGGTGGATAAAAACCTAAATTTTCTAAAATAAAAAAAAAAAATATATATATATATATATATATAACCTGTACCCTATATAGAGGCAAATTAAGGAATTAAGCCGGAAAAAAGTTTAAAAAAATATATATATATATAATAATATTTGGATTATTTTTTTCTCTATTAAGTTTAAAATGTATTTTTATTTTTCCAAACACGAATTAATTTTATTAAGTTTTTTTTTGTTAAATTTAATTTTGTTCCAATAATACTTTGTTTTTTTAAATAATACAACTTATCTTTATTCATAGTCATTTAAATATATTATATTTTTATATATATACAAAAATTATTAAGAAAACAACGAACTTTTAAATATTTTTTTTTTTTATTTTTTTTATTTTGAATTTATCTTTTAATTTTCTTGGCTGGTGTAAAAATTATTTTATTCGTTTTAAGAAAAAAAAAAAACAAGAAATAAATAAATAAATGCGCATATTATCTATCACTTACATACAAACATCCACACAAACAGTTATCAATTATTAAATGGTAAAAAAAGAAAATAAAAAAAAAAAAAATATATATATATATATATACATATACATATAAACATAAGAATATATTGAGAAAACATTTTTATATACAGAGATATTTATACACGAATGCAACGCATACACACAGGCATACTTATATATATATATATACTAATATATATATATAATAAATGTTTTAATTATGGTTAAATTCTGTATACAGTACATATTAAATATATTTATATATAATATACATAACAAACATAAATACATACATACATACATATTTAAGTTGTTAAAGCGAGCACGTTTACATGGTGATATAATTATAATGTTTATTATTATTATAAATATTTTTATTATTATTATTTCTTTTATTTGTATTTTTTTTTTTATTTGAATTTTTTTTTTTTTTTTTACTGAAATATGAAAAAAATTGTTTCGTTTTGTAATTGTTTTTTTTATATTTTGTATATCATTTGTCTTTTCATTTAATAAATTTAAATATATATATATATATAAAGTTTGTAAACTAAAACCAGAAAATTTATTGCATTTTTTGTGAAAAAAAATCTTTTTCCGGAATCGCCATAGAGCGGTTACTTTCTCTTTGCATTCAAATTTCAATAAAATTAAAATAATTTCCGATCAATATTATCCTGAGTCCGGATTTATGGCTGTCGACATTGAAGGCACGCTTACTCGACTTAACCATCTTTTTCAAAAGTCTTGTTCTGCGAATTTAGACAAGTCAGCTTTTTCCAAAATACGTGTAACACCCAAAAGAAAGCTCCAGAGACCCTATAAAGAATAAGCGTGAGTGATTTAACCATGTCTCTCCGTCTGTGTTGTGTCGGTGTGTGTGATTGGCACTTTAGTGGTCGCAAAAATGAAGATATCGACTTCAAATTTGGTAGAAACATTGGAAGTTCTTGCATACAGGTTGGTATTGAAAATGAGCCAAACCGGTCGGACCGGAAGTGCGCAGTGAAGCGTAAACTAAACGCAACACCATTTTTTTTAACAAAAATTTTTGGATTTTTGTTTGTTATTTGCAAGTTATTAAAGTTAGAAGGCTGATAATTTCCACACTTACTTCACGAAGCACTCTACTCCCTACGTGCAAAAATGAAAAACGTGCCCCTTGACCAAACAAAGTCAAAAGTGATTAAATTTTATTTTTTCACATTTTTGAGGTTTTATGCTTATTTATCATAAGGCAACTGACACAAAGTGTTTTCGAACTATTTTGCACATTCTTCAAATGAAGATATGTTATCTGCCTAAAAATGGGGTCATTTTAAAATGATCTCGAGACCCCACGGATTATGTTTTCTTAATAATCCCAGCGATATGGGTATCAAATAAAAAAAAGTGGCAGAGTACATTGCGAAGAGCACAGTATTGGGTGTGCGTAATTTACCTCCGCCGAATATAACTTTCTTACTTGTTTAATCATATTTTTGTAAACCTTTAACCCCTACTTTAATATTTTCTAAAAATTTTGTTGTTTCGATAAAGCTCTCCTATGATATCAAGAAGAGAATTTTCCAACTTTCATCGATAGTCTTTACGTTAATTAATTTTATCAAATATTTGTTAATAGTTTGCTTGACTTCCCCTTTGACTATACTGTGCGACATCAATTTTATTATCGAATGAATTTTCACTTGACGCCGACAATGTTGACAGCTCGCTACTCAGTATTCGACGCGTCGACTCGACGGTCGCGCTCGATGTCGATAACCATAAAACCAAATCCGAGATTATTCAAAATCAACAGCCATAAGCGGATCCCTGGTATAGCTTTAATGACTGCAATTGTGTCTTAACATCGGTCATTTCCAATGTTAGTCTTTACTTAAACGGTACGTTGTCGGCGTTGTAATGAATTTTTTTTAATAAGTGATCCAAATAATAATTTCTTCAATTTCAATTTTTAAAAATTAAAAAAAAATTTACATATGTATGTACGTAGTGAATGTAGAGAGATTCGGAGTACAAGCGATACATCTAAAACTCTCGGCAGCGTAACATTGTGATGGGCTGCATTCCATTCCTTCAAAAATAGTCCACAACGTCATGCTTATCTACAGCTGCCTATGGACGGTACATGCACCTTTAATGCCTCGACAATAACAATAACTACACTAAAGCCACAAGACTCGTAAAGTAGCCAAGAAGGTAATCTCACTGGGGCCAATTGATGCTTAGCTCATCCGTTTGACATTGAATCAAAATAGGCTAGAAGTGAATAATACGTCTTCTCTATGACGAAACGAATTCTCAGTGAATTGTCTTCAAGTCCTTGTTACTGTATTTAAGTATCCATCTTGAAGTAAAGTGAGAGCGGCTCTGGCACTGTTTCGTAGGGATACTAGTAAGCTGTGTGCCACTTATCTATTCATTGAAAAAAAAAATAGATATGTACGTCCTTAAATATATGTATATGCGTGTATACATATATTCCTATATATATAAATAAAACATAATATGTAATATATAATGTATATATATGTAGGTATGCACCTACATCCGTATATATGTATATGTACCGCCTATACATATATACATATATATGTTGGACCCTTAAGTATTATGGATCTCCACTCTATGATCCTATCTTCTCTGTCCTACCAATAAATTAAGAGTTCGGTTGTTATTTTCGAGTGGCTTTGTACCGAACTCTGTCATGCTACAACCTGAGACATTTCCATCCGTCAGCATGATGTAATTTCTACTTCCACAGATCTAAAAATCATATTCGTTCATACATGCCCAAGCCACACAGACGAAAACAGTGCACAGCACGTCTTCATTCATGTTTTGTCATGCTCGTAAGTTGCAGCGGCACATACAACTCAAGGTGTTTTCCCAACCCGTCAAAAATTGAGTTTAAAAAAAATTAACTTCTATTCTATAGGTATACAAAAGGAAGATTATACACTCCCCTCCCAAATCTTGAACAAATCTTGATTGAACATTGGAGGGATAGAAAACATGGAGACGTTAGTTCTTCTAAAATATATACGTAGTGTGGAATATATTTTTTTGCATAATTTTACATGATGTTTATTCTTTTATTTATTTTTTTTTTTTATGTTGTTTCTAAATAACTCTTCCCTGCAATTGTCCTGATGGGATCACTAATTGCAGTCTCGTATTCAAAACACACTTTTTTGAATAGTATTTTCAAATATTCATTTCTTTTGAAGATAAAATTTCAAATTAAAATTTTTATTTAGTTTTAACGCGAACGAAAAACATTAAAAAAAAATTATAAGGTAAAAAAGATTTTCAGGAGGTTTTCTTAAAATTACATTGGCTTCCTTGAAATTTGTTTATTTATTACAATGAAGCATAAGTACCTAAAAACATTATAAAAGAGAAAAATTTATATAAAAAAATATTTTTTTTTCAAATAAAATGAAAGTAAAATGTATAATAAAAAGAAACACTAAAAAAATAATAATGATATAATATAAGAAAACATAATAAAAAAGTTTCAATTGAATTCAATTGAATTAATATGAAAGCAACAAAAAAAAAGATTAAAAAAAAGTTTTTTTAATAAAATGAAAGTAAAATGTAATATAAAAATAAAAAAAAAGTAAAAAAAAATAAAAATAATTTAAAAAAATTAAGAATTTCAGAAATAAATTAAAAGTAGAAAATAAACCAAAAAAAATTTCAAAATAATAATAAAACAAAAATTAATATAACAAAAGTGCAAAATTTTCAAGTCCAAAAAATATTGAAGAAAAAAAAAAAAATAAAGCACAAATGAAAAACTACACAAAATAATTATTAATTTTGCCGTTCAAATCTTTTATGAAAAATATAAATTAATGTAGTGTGATGTTAATGTGAAAATTTTATCTAAAAAAAAAAAATTAAAAAAAATTATAATAAAAAAGAAAATTAATAAAATTATAATAAAAAAAAAGAATGTTATTTAAATTACATGTAATTATAAAATATATAAGATGGAAACGCTCCTCTTTGGGACACAAAGTAAGTTAAGTTACCTTTGAAGAACAAAAAAACAATTCAAGTTTTTATTAGTGTTTTATTTTAAGATAAAAGTACAAAGTTTCAATTATTATGATATGAAAAAAAAAAGAAAATGTTTAGACAAGTTAATTATTGTAAAGATTTTATGTTTAATGTAGATAATTAATATGATATTCCTAATTTAATATTGACGTGTTTGTTTTAAATTAAATTAATTAAGTTCCTCGAAAAATGTACAAAATATTCGAAAAAAAAAGTTAAAAAGATACAACAAAAAAACAAAAAAAATATTTTTTATTTTAAATTTACTACAAAAGATATAATACAATAAAATATTAAAAAAAAAACAAGTTAAATAATTTTAATTTAAAATCTTAAAAACATAATAAAATTATTGCCAACAAAAAAAAAAAAAAAATAGTGAGTAAATAAAGAGAAACAAATTTAAAAAAAGGGACATAAATATT